GTTGACGCTGATTAACTTGTTAAGTAAACGTTGTCTTGGTATAGAGTCAAAAGCTGAAGTATAGTCTAGAAAAGCACATCGAACATAGTTCTTACCCTTTTCTAAGTTGAACACTATGTTGTGATGCAGAACTGCAACAGCATCTAAAGTGCTTCTTTTGCGCCTGTATGCAAACTGGTATGGGTCAGTATGCTCTTTTATCGCAGGCTGAAGTGGAAGTATTAATAATTTTTCCATGGTTTTGAGGAAAGGTGAAGTTATTGCAATAGGTCTAAATTTTACATTCTTATCACCAGATGCTTTCTTGGGTACAGGAATTATCTTCATCTTTCTCCACATTTTTGGTATGAGATTAGATGAGAAAGATCTGTTAAAAATAGTTGTGAACGGATGACACAGAACGTCAGCACATTTTTTAAAAAGGAGGTTTGGGATACCATCAGGACCCAAACATCGAGATGAATTAAGCGACTGGAGACATCCTCGTACATCAGTTTCAGTGAACGTATGAACACAGCTATTTTTTAAACCCGTGGATAGATGGAGCATCACATCAGATGACTGACGTACAAAAGACTTATTTAAGTCACAAACATTCAGCTGGTTATCGCTTCTAAACTTTCTGTCACCTGTAAGTTCTTTAAAGAATTTCCACATACTTGTAGAGTTTTTGCAAGATAAGAGTTTTTGAGTAAACATGCAGTTGAGACGTCTAATCTCTAGGTTTATCAGACCATTTAGCTTACGAACTTCATTTGAGTTCTTCTCTTTGTACATTCTTTCTTTAATCCTCCGTAGTCGTTTTAGTTGTGAAGATGTAAGCCGATCAAAACTTACAAAAATGGTTTCAGTGGGACAACAAATATCAAAACAGAATTTAAGGTAACAAGTGATAACATCAGTAGTGTTTTCGAGTGAGTCATCTGTAAATAATTCCCAGTTAGTCGTATGAAACATGTTTTTTAGATTTCGGATATTTTCTTCTGAGTAATTCCTATATTTGACTTTCTTGGTTTGATGTAAGAGTGTACTCTTCCCATGCTTTCCATATACTTTAGGTAGAACACGAATTAAACAGTGATCTGAGCTAGACAATGGAGCACGTTTACGAGTCGCATATATACCCACATCATTAATGAAAACGAAGTCTAAATGAGCATCCAAACGAGTAGGAAAATCTACTACGTTTTGGTGACCTAGTGACGTAAGGAAGCTACAGTCACATGAATTGAAATCACCGCATACAACTGAAAGTGAATCACTGAAGGCAGTAACAGCGAACTCAGTGAATTCATCAGCAAAAACAGATAGTGCAGATGATGTGCAATCTGGAGTCACGTAGATATTGGTAACATAAACATATTTGTATTTATTCAGATGTTTTGGACGACATCTTAGAGTTAGACAGTCGATAAAGTCATTTGAAAACTTAAAACACACAGACGAAGATTGACACCAGTTTATGTTTACAAACGTAGCTACACCGCCACCACACCTTTTTTTATTGTTCGATCGATCCTGACGATAAATTTTGAAATCATGTAGTGATACAAGGCAGTCATCGTGTAAATCATTCAACCAAGATTCTTGAATTGTGATGACACCACAATTACGATACGTATTTTGACTAAGCAGGAATTGCAGATAGTCCACTTTGTTGATTAATGATCGGCAGTTAGAATTAAGAAGCTCGGGAATCGACATACGATTAATGTTCATTCTCTTTAACGCATATTGCCAGCCACCACGATGCCTTTTATAGTACTTTTTCTTAACTTGTGCAGCGAAAGGTCGTAGGCTTTTCATAAAAGCGCCTGAATAGGTTATGCGATTAATGGACATAATTATAAATTAAAACAAATAAAAAACTGATAACTTGTTGAAATAATCAGATGGCAAAAACAGGTAGCCCAGATATTCAAGCAGGCCGCGATATATATATATATACCACATATATACCACACTATCCTCAGGAAATTGACCCATTTCATAGACAATGAAATGTACTCGCCACCTAGGTCACTTCTGATTGACATCGACTGAACTTTTCATTCGACTACTTCTGATTGGTTCTGCATATCATTCTTATCTTTTTCTTGACCGGATAAGGCTCAACAAACGACTTTAATTAATATTACTATTTCAGTGTTTTTGAGCTGGATGATGTTATTGTGATGCTTTCATTATCCTTCTTGATATCATCGATACACAACTCCATAAGGAGCTACTAAGATTTCTTCTCAACTGACTAGCTGCTTGTTTTGTTGACCTAGAACCTAGTTAACAGTTATCTGTTATTGTGCTGCATATTCGTCTCTATCGTTTTCACCTCTGGCTTGATCTCTGACCTTGGGGTTGTACATAGATCTATTGACTGATGTGTTAAGTGGGGTGCTAAACCTCTAAAAAAATAACCGGGCTTCTTTTGCTTCCACTGTACAGTATTTGGAAGTTTACCCAATCAAAAATCATACCCACACACATTGACATGAGACAAGCAAGGTCGTGGCGTTGAACTAGTACCTGATGTTCACATAGAGATAGATGAAGCGGTAGCGCATCAGTCAACCAAGTATTAACTTATTCATCAAGTGTTGGGTATGAGCCACACTCTCGGTGTGTGAGGACCGACTATATTACCCGGTTGTCCAAACCAAAGTAGTGAGACGTTGTTAACTAGGTCAATCGAACCCTTTTAAAGATGGGAACAAACACTGACTTATTCTACGATGTTGGAAAACCCACTTATTTCCAAACCTTTATAACTTAGTTCCATAATCATAAAGTCTAAAAATGGATTGCGGTAAGTAATGTGGGCCTGGAGATTTGTTGCACTTCAAGAGTTAGAGTGTCTTGTGGACTTCCGCCTCATTAGGTCGATCAGTCGTCACGGGTCATGGGGGTAGGAAAGTCTGATCGATGTTGCTGGGACTGCAGACCAGTTGAGCTGCTCCTCGAAAAACTCTATCCATTGTCCAGAACGTCAATAAATGCTACTGATTGGCATCCCGCCACCTTCACAGATTGTTTCACTCACACCAGAGTTCTTGCTCCTAGTGACTCGGATGAGTTGAACGAGCTTCCAGCAGTTACCAGATGCAGTTGCTGCTTCACAATTTTATTTCGTAAATCTTTGTTTGTGGTCAAACTCGCAATCACCCGGAGCAGACCGACGGGCTCCATCGATTTGTAAGGAGCCTGAAGAAACCCAGTGCTTATGAGTGACTTGACATTTTCATGACATTATGCATTTTCAACCAATGCTCATCTATAGTTTTCGGTGAGATGGTAGATAGCCTCAAACCTATCTCGGTTTGATATTTAGTTACAACAGAAGCTGCAACCCATTTACTGACATCAATTTGTTTAGGACGATGAATCTGTTGGCCAGTGAATAGCAAGGTAAGATTAGCGCAAACAAGGGCATGATCGGAGTCTAGAAAGGTACTCCAAAAGGAGTGTCAGTCTTGTACACAACCACGCCTCTGGTAGCTGACCACGATGTGGTCAATCTGAGATGCAGAGGGAGGACGCCAGGTGGTACATCGGCGATGACTGTGCCGGTAGTTAGTGCTAGTGAGAAACAGGTTGTGATCTGCGCACAGTAGAAGTAGACGGTCCCCGTTATCTGACTTGCGTCCAAGAAGTCCCCATCGGCTACCTAAACGACTCCCTTCTGTGCCTAGACGCCCGAACTGAACTTTCAAGTCTCCGTCTTGTATTACAATGTCTATCGGGCACACTTTCTGAAGAGGAACAGTTAACTGGTGGTAAAACTCATCCTTGATCGCATCCGGGCTGCAATCTGTCGGAGCATAGGTGGAGATGACGAAAAGACATCGTTTCTCACACCGATTTCTTCTTACTTTGATGGAAATTTCTAATATAACAGCACATAACCGACTGTTAATGGGGATCCAATCGATTAGTGCTGCCTCAGCTCTGGCATTTAGTGCGACACCAACACCAGCAAAACCAGACGAAGATGCCACAGGGTCCCCGGATAAGCGCACGTAAAATAAACCTTTTGAAGCGACAGATGGAGAGCTAATTTGTAGTACTTCACTAGTCCTAAACACGGGTCACGGACAAACAGGCATCGATATTAAGACTTTCTAAAGACAGCCAAACCTGTACGTTGTCCGACCTGCATTAGTGTGTGAACGTTGAAGGAAGCCAGTTTGAATGGTATACGTGGTTTCAGAAAGAATTTCAGTATTCTTAGTCGGTGGTAGCATTCAACTTTCGACCAGTCAGTGATTCGAGATTGTTTAGATAGGACAGAATTTCCACCATAGGCGAGCTTCGGTATAAGTTGGAAAATAAGAGTACACAAAGTGAAAATAGAAGAGAGTAGATAAGCGACGTAGTATATAAAGAAAGATAAAGAATGTTACCAAATGATTGTCAATGTGATTTACCTGAATGCTAATTGATGCAAGAATATTTCCAGTAGTAATCGTCATTTGATTCGCGTATGGGCTGTGATGCTGCCCGTGTGCTCAGACCGAGGACTTTGTGTTCGACAGCCTAAGGACTAGCTTAAAATTGTATCTGTAGGCGACTAAATCCTGTTGTACGTTATCATACATAACTAGCTTTTTCTAATATGGTTAGAACCTTTCGTTTTCCTTGTTTTCATATTTCAAGTTTACAGACTGCATGTTCATACGACTGAGTTATAATGGTGCTTTAACAATTTTGTGAACCAGCATAAGTAATCTTGAGTAGTGATAATTTAATGACTTAAAAATTTGTCACTTAATCAGCAGGTTAAAGGTCCGAACATCACTTCACGCACATTAATCTGCGCAACATGATAACAATCCGAATTTTAAAATTCAACTAAAACCAACTTGGATTTTGAAAAACTACACCAGTGGAGGTTTAATATAAAAAAATTATAAAACTCTGAGCGGAACTCAAACATATGATTAGTTGCTCTACATTAATATCAAATGTTATAACTTGTAGATAGGTTGAGAAGATATTAAACTCACCCAATTGATGAGCTAAATGTCTGCCTCGATCGACAGATACAACTCTGTCATCTACGAGATCACATTTATTACCAACAAGAACCACTTGCGCATTATCCCATGAATACGTTTTAATTTGAGTTACCCTGTTTAATACAATAAAAATTAATTGTGCATAAAAGTATCATTTAACTATTGGTTAATGTATTAAGAGACAAACTTAATGACAACGCATATCATCTGATAATCCATGAGAATAAATAGCTTACTCCTCCTATTTGTAAGGTATCCTATCGACCTAAAGGGTCGTGATACAACAACACAATATTATCCAGGGACTAAATATGAAAAGCAACACTCAGTAAAAATGAAACTAGCTTATCAATTATACATTTATATACTGGGCAACTGGTGTTTTAGGGAATTTCTAGAGTGAAGTGGAACGAGACATGAACCTGCAACTAAAATGGCTGAATGGTTTAACCTATAAGGCTTTGCTCTACAACATCCTGTAGTTCAAAAATAATAAAAGGGAACATTATCTACAAGAAAGCCTGTATACTTAGGGAAATGTAATCATATAAATATACACAGAAGAGATTATGTATAAGTTTGTAATTGTAATTTTTGATAGTTAAGTGAGCTGCAGTAAATCACTTCAGTTGACAAGAATGTACCTCCTTAAACGTCAGTTCCATCCCTTATGGTAATGTATCTTGAACGGAAAACTAATGGCTTAAAGCTTTCTAAACAGTATTAACATTTCTGCACAATACACATGAAAAGGTTGAACACCTAGAATAATAGTAAAACTGAACATATGACGATTTCCAAGCATAATGAATTAACCAGAAAAAAAATTAACTTCCAAAGAACATGTGAATTTCAAATGAATTATTTATAACTCATGAGAAACTAATTAGAAAGTACATTAAATATTTTAACACAACGTCTAGTTTATTAAAAACGTAATAATAGATCAATATAAGCTGTTTTAACAGTTGAATCACATATACATGCTATTGTTTTGATCGTTATCACTTAAGATTTTCAAAACGAGCACAGAAAACGTAGCAATGGCCTTCTAGTTCACGTTACCGTATTTCAACCTTACCAACAGCACGAAGAATGGAATAAAAAACAGCATGACAGAAACACAAAATCACCGAGTGATTGGAATTAGGGATCAACCGACTCACTAGTATTGTGCTCATCGCGACATCAGGTTTTGAGCCTGATCCCTGATAAGGTTGTGGGTGCCCGTTGAAGAGCAACCTCGAACTAGGGGAAATCAAATACTAATGCTCTCCAGCTTCCAAAACCGGTTTTGATTCATGATGAAAAATAAATAGAGGATGAAAGTAATGATGGCAATATTAGTGAACAAAATAGAAGATAAGCGAAATAAGCTAGGATGGGAAAAAGCAAAGCCAATTATTATAGAACATTTGTTAGGCATCATAATAAATACACATACATCAAACTAAGACGGACTCTTCGGTCACATTCATTAAATCCTTTGAAAACCAGTTTTGACGGTATTGATAGAAAATACCCGAAACCAGACTGAAAATTGATAGCCCAAGTTACCTCGTGAATTTATCTTTACAATAACACCTTGTATTTACACAATTATGATGGACCAAAGGGTTATTTCTTCAATATCGTTTTATGGTGACAACTAAACCCTCCTTTTTATTGTAATATCCAAATGATTAGTGACATTGAATATATGTCGAATAGTTCACTCTTCATAGTCGGTTCATTAAAAACGCTTGACAACCGCCTCGTCGGCTCGCGTTATACTGAAAACATGTGCATAGATGATTACTTCAAATTCAATCCACCGATGATCAGCAACTAGAAGGCATAACAAATCGTATAGGTCTGATGTCATCATTAAAGCAAGAGGTTGATAGTTGTGCTAGCCTGGCATCATCCTTGTAATTTTCACAGCCTCAGTAAAGCGTCCGACCTGCTAGATTAGAGACATCTTCGACGCAACATTTCCACAAGCATTTCTAAACAACTCATATGTACCCTAAACGTTTTTCTTAAGTTTTATTGAAGATATTAATACCTTAGTTATTTTATTTATTAGAAATCACGTAACCTTATACGATGCAATTAGGCATTTAGTACATTAAGTTTAGAGAGAGAGCGCGTATATTGACCATCCACTGGGAGTAATCTAAGCATTATTTTATCTTATGATAGCTCTAAAAAATCGCAGCCAGGAAAGCAGGAAGTTAAAAAGCAAGTAAACAGGGCTTTCATCTGTACGACTGAATGTTTATTACGATTACGTTAGAAAAAGAGTAATGTAACTATTATTATCCAACTGTTTTTACATCAGTGTACGTAAGAGTATCTGAAACTTTTATACCTTTTACCAAAGGAAACTCTGAATTCAATATTCTGTGTTTCCTATAAAAAAAACCCACTGGTATCTAACATAGAAGGTAAGAAGTAACAATCCTAAATTGTTTTTATTTCTAATGACGTTTCCATCAGCATGAGTATAAAACACAAGAATATCTATTCTTACGATCTGCTTGAGGATAGCCAGATTCTAATTTCATTGGAATTGAGTGATTTATGAGATCCGTATCCTTCCACCTCTTACGGTACAAGTGACTTCTGATTACACTTATTTTTGTGTTTAGGACTGTGTATAACGTGCCATTTTACTAGACGAAACCTTTTCTACTTATGAGTGATCGTGTCTTTTAATACCAGTTTGCTAGCGGCATACATCATTAGCTCAGTTTCCTGAACAGTTACCACTTAGGTATGTCGTATCATTGCACTGCGGCCACCGATCGGCAGTCTGTTTATTTATCCTGTTGACTCATGGAACTATACTATCACTATTATGATGTGTCCTTTTTTACTGAATAGTTGCCTAAACAAGTCCCAACAATTTAAAATATATGGGAATCGGATTAGCATAATTTTGGGGCTTTCTAGAGAAAGAATAAATTCAGATTAAACAACTCACCAATCCTGAACAGCATTGAAAGATTCTTCGTTGGTAATATCATACATTAATATGAAACCCATTGCACCACGGTAATAAGCTGTTGTTATGGTACGGTAACGTTCCTGACCAGCTGTGTCCTATTTCGGTAATCAAGTGGAAATTACATAACATTAATTCCGGGTGACTACACATTGACTGTTTGATCTAAGCACACAGAATAACAATACAAATTTGTCCCTTCAATCATAAAACTAACGTTCCAATAAGGGCACTCTAGAGATTTACAAATGCATTTCATGAAACAGGTAAATCGAGGAATTCGCATCCAATGAGATCTTAAAAAATCTGATTTTCATCGATATTCGGCGCTACAATAACCTGATTTTGGTTATTTTTTTAATCTGTATACCGAACGTACGTTAATAATGACGTCACATTCCTTTTTTACAGCAAGGCTCTTGTCTACTTTAAGTTGAGCATTATAAAACACAAATCGTGGTAAGAGTGACCAACATGGTTGACAACGAATCCCTGAAATAACTACAACAGTAAAACTGATAGTGATAATTAAAAGCAATGCTGGAAAATAATTTACTATACGAGAGTTAAGATAGACTTATTCATAATTTTTACAAAACTCTGTCTATAGTAAGTGACAGTTTATCATTACGGGTAGGGTATATTAACACAATCCTTTAAACTAATAAGATCCACTGTCTACTTTGACAGACACGACATAACTCATTACATTATTTGTTGTCACTAGAAAAGATTTACTAATAAAAAATTTATCACTCCAATATATTTATAGATATGCATAGGCTAGGTTGATTTATGACTGTCTCCTAGATTTAGAGAAGTTATATACTGACTCAAACCCACAAGTATTAACAGGTCTGAATCCCGGGTACTCTATCAAGCACAAATCCAAACAACTGATTGTATGGTTTACACTAAAGAGCATGAAATAATGCGGACTGCATGGTTAATAATTGGAGTTGTAGAAAGATAGGGTCAGGATTATACTGAGATTACCAGGTTACTGTTCTATTAAGCAATCTATCCAGACAGGTCTTAACTTAATTTTATCTAGTAAATGTAAAACCCAGTAAACAATACGGACAAGTAAACTGCCTAACATAGTCTTCTCAGAACCTATGCGACTGAACAATAGGCCTGCATACCAGGAGTCTACAATTAGTCCTTGTGTAATTACCATGAATAATTACATGACTAGATTAGGCAACAAACAACGGTAAACATCAGGTAAATAACTTCTAGGCAAATCTTTATCGTAAATGAATAACAACTACGGTGCTTAAGTATGATAGTGGTAAACGAAATAGGTATGTGGAACCAGGCATCTAAATTTATGAAAATGAAACAGGAAGTCTCAGACAACAAACAGACTAATTTGACGTCCAAACCTAGTATATCTACACATTACATCAATTTGTCACAAATTCTCGGAAACGGACAAACAACCAACGGATTAAGTGCTACCGTTGTGATAACATAAGACTGAAAGAATATTTGGACAACCTAGAAAAAGGCAGAGTGAAAGTTTGTGGATTATGTTGATCGAATGCTTACCATGAGAATTTTAAAATATTTGCCGACTTTTGTCACTTGAATCAGCTTAGATGAGAAATTTACTTTCAACACACCTCAAATCACATTACCTGTTTATGACGCGGTAAAACATCAAACCAAGCAGCAATTTGATGCACAACACATCATATAGACGGCATGGTAGATTGAAATTTCACCTCTTCAAATATCTTGCCACGCTCGCCTAAAGCCTTACGTCCAATCGTCATTTTCTTCGAAGTCATACCAAATCTCAGTGAATACTTGAGGGTACCTATGAATATCTACTAATATCTTGTCTACATTTGAAAGACACACTTTGATACACGTCTGAATAGCTTACAACCGGTTGTAAGTCATGATGAAGACTAGCTTTTTCTATATGTGTTCATGAAACTTAGATGGTAAGAGTGATAAACACTCAAAACTTAAACCATAAAGTCATTCTTGATAAAGTAGGTGCGAAATGTAACGTAAACACACATCTTCCACTAAACTGCTCAAAATGATCTGTGCCCCCCTGAACTTTTTGGTTAATGGGAAATACGTTGTCTACTCTATGAGGGAACTAAAAATCCCTACATGGATAAATTTATGAGGCGTGTAAACATTCAGATTGTCCCAACACAAGCGAAGAAGTGAACATCCCTTAGTATATACTGTTAATACTACCAGCTTTTGTAGTTTCCTCCACGGTCCAACATAGCCATATTAAATCCAGTGGGATTTATACACTTGTCACATGAACACCTTAGAGATGGAACATTTTTTAACTCGCTCGTACTCAGAGATATCACTTTAGCGAGTAAAATTTGGGTATATCAATAACAACTTATCCTATAATATGGTAGAAGATAGAGATACGAGCTGAGAGAATAACGAACTGCTCAAGTAACCACATCAGTGAAGGGAGGTGGAAGCAAATAAGAAAGGAAATAAATTTCCTTAAAATCATATTGTCTATACATATTGCTATCTTTTCACTATTACTAACACTAACAAATCTATTACTTAGGTAGTTGTCTTGATGGCAACTTGGATAGATGCACACACGTGATAGATCCTATGTTGTTCACGATTGACTGGATGACGTAAGACTGGGTTCGTTCCCGAATACAATAAAGACGAGATATATAAACTGAAAGTATTCTTGCTCACCCATATTTGCAGTTTCACCCTTTTGTCTTGTCTGAATACTGTCTTTACTTTGAAGTCAATCCCGACAGTCGAAACGAAAGCCGATGTGAAGCTATCGTCAGCGTACCGAAAAAGGAACGACGTTTTTCCAACAGACGAATTGCCGATAATAAGCAGTTTGAACATGTAATCGAAGTTTTGGTCAGCTGCATCTCTAGTATGACTCATGGCTTCGCTTGCTTTTCGGAATGACAGTTGAAAACGTCTGCAATACGCACAAGGCGCCTTTTTACGACATTAATGTATGATCATCACCATACTGTAAAACAAGTATTGAGTTATTGAATTTACACTGCGAACAACACTCTGGTTTGCTACGATGGTGCTGGAACAATGTTTATACTATGAACGTATAAGTCTGCATAAACGCGCGCTTTTCAAACGGGATGTTTAGTCCTAATTTGGTTTGCATTTTTCAAACTTTTGCTGTGTTCTTACGCAACAACAGTACCATTTCTGATCTCAAGAACCTATTCTTGGCCATTTGTTCAGTAGATTACTTTTTTCGAGTTTCACTCAATTTAATAGCTAATTGTGGTTTTACCTCAACTTACTATTACTTTTTTTTAGTTTTTCACGTAAGGGTTAGTTCAGTTTATCTCATCTGTTTTTATCAATTTTTGCCTGCTTTGAGTGTGCTTTTTAGTGTATTTTTGACTGTCTTAGGCTTTTGCTAACATCTATAATACAGTTTACGTCAATATAGTCATGAAAACATCATGCAAACGACCCGGATGTCGTTTCGCTGTTACATCTGGTATGTAGTGCAATAACTGCGAAGGTTGGTTCCATGAAGCGTGTACAGATCTCACAGAAGCTGCTTAGAACAGATTCAGCAAATCGGATCATAACTGGATATGTGTTACGTGCAGCACGGATGCTGTGGTTTTGCTAAGTAACATCATTGTACCATTGACGGGTCTGCTGAATAAGTTATCAGCAAACTTGGAAAAAGACAGTCACGAAACGGGTAGGCGAACATGGACGCGCAATGAAAACAACGAGAGGGATGTCGACAGGTCAAATGTCGATGAAGCATGCATTAGCACTAGTGATAACATGCTGAAACTCAGCACCATCATAACATCGACGGTAATAGACTCCTTCAGCACACTTGAGTCTCCCAGAACAGGGTACGTGAATGCAACAGTGATTCCCAAAAACTATGCGGGTGACTGGACCCACGTCAACAGAGCTAAAAAGGACCAGGCGTCACCGTCTAAGCTGAAAATCGCAAGTATTGTGCGGAAATCAGCTGGTGACTTGACCGCACAGTCTACCGCAAAGAATGTCCGTCCGGTCACCAAAGAGCCTAGGAATCAGAAACGTGCTTCGATTTCCAAACAACAAGGTGCTGAACGCATCGGAAAACCTGGGAAAACAATAACAGTTCGTGATGACTCTCTGATAATCATGAACATCAAAGACAACCCTGACCTTCCTCTCAGTTTGCAGGACACAAATGACAGGATGCTTTGGAGAAAATTGAACAAGAAGCTTGAACATCTTAGAATAGAGCCTTTGACGGTCACATGGCTCACTAGAAGAAAGGAATCTAAGCATCAGAATCACCCAAGGATACCTCGTGTAACACTTAAGAATGCTCTGATAATAGGGAATGGGAATTCATCAAGCGATCCTTGAGTCTCAAAAACATACTGACTCAACATGTGACGAGCCTAGCCAAGAAGGAGGGAGGTTCTAGATCTCGGCTAGTGAGAACAACTTTCCCATCCTCCCATATGGCGGCTGCAACTCGGGAAGCATTTCGTACCAACAGACGTCGGTTGCCAACTGGAATCCATATGCACCGGATAGGCCACATGACGCCAGGATCAAGCACAAAGGCAAGTTGGAGCTGACCATTCCACTTGTGAACTGTCTTCACCACAAAAAACGTGTATAAGACAGGGCCTACCAACTCGGCAAACCTTATATAAGAAGGCTATCTGTCCATCCACGTAAGGCTCATACAGACGAACAGAAAGAAGCTAACGTGTTTCAAATTGAAAGTATAAACTGCTTATACATGAACGCCGCGAGTCTACCAAATAAAACGGATGAGCTAAGTGAACTTAGCAATGCTGATAATGCCCATCTGATAGGAATATCTGGAACTTGGATATCTCAGTTTACGAACCAGGAGCTAGCAATACCTGGGATATCTTTGTTTCGCAATGACAGAAAAACAGGAATTTGGGGTGGAGTAGCCTTATGCATAAGATCCTGCCTGGAGGTACACCAACTTCATAACCGAGGGTTTATGAATCTTGATGAATACATATGGTATTCAGTAAGATTGTCTAGCACTTCAAGATGCCTAGTCGAGGTCATCTATATGAAGCCCACTGCTGACATCGAGTACGACAACTGTATACTGGAAGGATTCTCCCGCTCTACTCGTCACAGATTCACTCATATCCTGATTCGAGGGGACTTCAATCTCCCTGGAGTCAATTTCGCGGGACATACGTATATTGGAGGTGAAAACTCAACTGAAGCTCGGTTCTTCAACCTCATTGAGGATCTGGGATTATACAAAAATGTGAAATCGGCAACTCGTTGAAGAAACAATCAGACGCCGTTGCGCTTAGACTGGGTATTTACAATTGAAGAATTTCCAGTTGACAACCTCTCAATCCTGGCTCACCTGGGGAAGAGCTCTTATGTACTACAAGGCAGCCAGTTCCTCAAACGGTCTCCAATAGCTACAAGCAACCTACAATAATCGAAAACCGCACCCTTTGTTCGCTAAGCCGCAAAAGGCACTGTTGGGCAGAATACAAACGAACTGATAAGAACAGTGCATACAGGCACTATAAACACAAAGGCTATAAAAGAAGACGGGCTACAGTATCAGATAAAGCTTATGGATAAATTTGTCTCCAATCCGAAAGCTTATTCCGTTATGCAGCCTCTCTTCGTGAAGCCAAAACTGGAGTTTCGCAAATGCTAGGTCCTAATGGCCCGTCCAATAACGACGGTGACGCCGCTAACCCTTTGGCTGAACAATACTCTCGGATATTTCAACCGACACACATCAACTACACTGATGACAGCTTCATCTGCAACTGCACAGGACTTTCCGCAGTGAACATCAGAGCTGACTTGGTGTTCCGGAAACTACAACACCTAAGAAAAGACACTTCTCCTGGCCCGGATATGGTTCATTCTGCTATATTGAGGGAAGCAGCCTCAATCTTGGCAACACCGCTTAGCGTAATGTTCTCACACTCGCTAAGACAAGGCGAACTAACAGAAATTTGGGGGCTGGCTCACATCACACCGATTTTCAAAGGAGGTCGACGCAGATAACCTTCACGTTGCCAACCGGTGGCACTTCTCTCTATACCTTCAAAAACCATGGAGTCTATGATATGCGATGGTATATATGACTATTTACTGTCCTTAGATTTCTTCCCACCACAACAGCATGGTTTCAGGAATGGTTACTCTTGTATAACCAACCTGCCGACTGCGGTGGACAGATGGATAAGCATCCTCTATTGCAAGGGGAAGATTGATATCATTTACCTTTATTTTTCAAAAGCTTTTGATAGGGTTAACCATACATGTTTTATTAATAAGCTCAGACGATTGGGTATCTGACTTTTTCTAATTGATAGGCTCACTTCATATCTGAAAAATCGACATTTTAAGGTCAGGGTTAACTTCACTTTATCTCAGGCTATGGAATGTTCTAGTGGAGTCCGCCAGGGCTCAATACTAAGATCTCTTCTCTTCTTGATCCACATAAATGATCTTCCACGAAAGCTATTGTCAGACTTATAGCTTTTTGCTGATGGTGTGAAACTTTGGAGAGTGATACTTAAACAAGAGGATATACAGGCACTTCGGGAGGATCTGACCCGACTTCGAAGTTAAGCAGATGATTACGGACGTACCTTTAACACTTCAAAGTGTAAAGTAGTCCACCTAAAATATGTTGCAAACCACGGTTACAATCTAGGAAATTCTTCTCACGAAGTGCCCCAATTCGCAAACGACATATGAGTGTTGGAACCCTACGATTTGGAGTCTTATGCCAATTGCGACGAAAATGCCTTTCAAGAAAATCTTGCACTCATAACATTTAAGCTCATTTTTTGCCAGTTTAATGGAAAAACGTTTCCCACAATCTTCAGCAGTTTCATTCGTCTCCATTTAGAGCACAGAAACATGGTATTTCCTCCCTCACTAAACGAAAACGTAAGAGGTTTGCAATTGGTGAAGAGAATGAACTCTGAACTTTCTTCAGAGTTTTTAATGTACCGCACAACACGATATATAGCCAGCAGTTCCATACCGAAAGTGCAATACCTCGATTTAGTGTCTAGTAATCATCTCGAGCATGCCAAAGGTTGCCAACTTTTCTTTATTCATTGTAGTTTGACTGCTCCTATCGCTGGGTCAGATGAGTCTGCTGTGATACTGATGGGTGCTACGGTGTCCTGGTGTGCAAGCAGTGTTGCTTTGGTAATAACTTCCTTAACTTTGGAGAATGCATTCTTCACTATGTCGTTCAAAATAGATGAATTTCGCATTTACACGAAGTCGGTCGCTTAAAGGTCTTGTGAGAGACGCGTGGTTTGGTATGAACCGTCGACTAAAACTTGCCAGGCCGTTGAACGTGCCTGGTTGCTTGGTTTTGGCGGATTATGGGTAATTCAGAATGGCCACCGTTTGAGAAAATCCAGGGAGTCGAAGCCGATCCGACATTTCCGAATATTTACAGTAATGTGTGTTTCTGTGGTCTTTCAAAAACAAGGTGCAGATGCTGGAGATGAGACTCTATGTTTGGACTTCTGATCAAGCAGTCAACCACATATGCGTGTACGAAGTTGAGACCTCGAAAATGGTCATCCGAGAATCTGTAGAATGTGCAAAAGTTTGTGATGAGAGCGTGTTTAGGAATGTCGTCAACATCTGTGGGGATTTGGTTATATGTCTCAACCAAATCGATTTTTGAAAACACATTTGTATCTTTCACAGGAACTGTCAACCCGTGAATGTGAGGTAGCGAGTAACTATAGAGAATGGTTTTTGCATTCAGTCGCCGATAGTCACCGGTTGGACGACAATCATTGATGTTTTTTAAGGGACCATGAGCAAGAGATATGCTCATGGGCTGTTTGACGCTCGAATGATTCCTGAGTTTATCATGCGTT